CAATTGTTGCCTAATTAATTTTATCTTTATTTATGTATGTTGTACATTCTATTATAAAAATATAAAAGCGTTACAAATATCATTTTGTGACAATGGATATTCGTTGCATAATACTTTAAAAAATCATAATATTCAATTTCTTACATCGCAACAAAGTTGCTATTATGGTACACATTTATTTAACAATGTAACTCCATAAAAAAAAAAAAAAAACTCATGACTATAAAAAGAATGCTTCCATGTATAGTAGTTCAAATATAAATAATTACAAAATACATAAAAACAATTCATATTATTGTTAACCAAATAGATAGTTACCTCCAAAACTAAAACAAATACAAATGCAAATAAAGTATAATGCTAGTAATTTCAAGGTCGAACTACTCCAAAGTTAGAAGATGAGGTCACAAGAAAGAATGTCGAAGGGAAGGGAGCTAAGGTTGGATCTAGGGATGATATGAAAGAGCAAGAAAAGGAAAAAAATGGTAAACGAAGGTGTTCAAAAAGAAACAATAGTAGATGATAAGCATCCCGACATAGAGAAAGGCATCGATGATTTTGTGACGCCTAAAAAACATGAGGTAGATGAATCCACTCAAGGTATGTAAAAAACAAATTGATGTTCAGCATCATATTATTACCTCCAAATGAATCAAGTTCTAGATTTCTAATTGTTGGTACTTGCAACATATAGGTGATAGTATACAAATCGAGAAGGTAGGATGAAAATCTCCAAAAGGACGAGGGTATCGTCCAAAGAGAAAAGCACATTTATTGTGATCTCCCTTCATGGACCCGACAAAGAGGAGAAAGTTGTCGGACGTCGATGTTTATGATCCTTATCGAGAATTAGATCCTGTGAAGGTTGAGGCTCTTCACAAATGGTTGGAAACTGCACCTTCCAGGTAAATTATTACACATAGTTGGAATGACATGTGGAAGCAATGATATCATTACATAAATATAACTTTGTGTGCATGTTGTTGTATGTGCAGTCAAATGATACCTTTGCGCTTTTACGATGTTCAAGCAAAAAATTTGATCGACCTTTTGAATGAGGATGGTTGGATTACTGGCAATGTAAGTAATACAATTTTAATGATTTTGCGATAATGTTATACAAGATTTCAGTTTGTATTAACTAGTTCCTTTGTGCAGATTATGAACGAGGCCCTATACCAGATACGAGAAAGGGCTTTCAAATTTCCTAACTTATTTCGACAAGATTGCTGCCTATTGGATACTTTCTTCTACCAATTTGTTCATAACGCACATGGCCAGTTGCAACCGAGTAAAGAGCTCAATTTTAGTAAGAGTCTGATCAATTATGTGAGAGGGACTACTCCAGAGCTCGGTAAACCTTGGAAGGACTGCAGATATTTGTATATTCCTTGCTTTACCGTCAACCATTGGTTCACAGTTCAAATCGACTTGGAGGAACGAACAATTTTTGTCTTCGATAGTCTGAAGAGTCACGTTTGTAGGGCAACGTTCGAATCTTACATTTTGCCTCTACAGGAGGTTATTCCGTTACTGATCAAACTTCATGTCAAAATTGATGACAACTATAGCACGGAAAAGTTCGAAGTTGTGAGAGTGGGAGATGTTCCCCAACAATTGAATGGGTAAGAATGACTAATTTCAGAATTGATAGTACTATATTATTTTAACTGTTTCAAATGGATACAATAACTGCACAACTATTTTGTAGATCTGACTGCGGGATATCCACACTTAAATACATAGAATTTCTGCAAGCGAATATGGACGTAAATGCAATTCAAGTGGATTATGTACCAATATGGCGGAAGAAATTGGCTGCAGAGTTATTGGCTTGGAATTTTGAGCATTAGATTGTGTTTTGATGTATGTATTGATATTTTGAAAACTTTTGTGGCTGGACCTTGTTCATTTTGCTAGAGTAGTTGCTATTCCTATAACTGTCGATATTTCTAGGATGTTGCCTAACCATTAGTTAGTGCATTTTGATAATTGTAATGATTACGAATATTGAATATAATTGAAATTTACATATCGTTCAAGTTTACATATTGTACATGTCCAGGGTGTTCATATACTGCATATTCACGTAACGACATTTCTAACTCGTTCAGTGACAGAGAGTATTTCATGTCGTTCAAGTACAAAAATGTATTAATTCGGAAAACGATATCGAAAGCGTTCCTGACACACAAAACGATTTCGATATCGTTTCAGCACGGAGTGCTTCCCAGGAAAACTACAATGACATTTATATCGTTCCTATGTTGCACAACGATATCGATGTCGTTTCGATACAAAATTGCACTCAGTAGCATAATGACATTGAACTCGTTCCTGGAATAAAAGCGACATGGATATCGTTTCGGCGTAAAATAAACACTGCTTCCCAGAACAAACTATAACGACATTGACCTCGTTCCTGGAATAAAAACGACATGGATATCGTTTCGGCGTAAAATAAACACTACTTCCCAGAACAAACTATAACGACATTGACCTCGTTCTTGGAATACAAACGACATGGATATCGTTTCGGAGTAAAATAAACACTGCTTCCTAGAATAAACTATAACGACATTGATATCGTTCCTATTTGACAAAACGATATAGATGTCGTTTCCATTCAAAAATTGCACTGCGTAGCATAACGATATTGAAANAAATCCACGACACATCTTGATTACCTCCAATATCAAAACAAATACAAATTTCAAAGGCCAAACGACTTAGAATAGTTTACCAAACTTGAAAAGTAGAAAATAGAACTATAAATATGTAAGAAGTAACAAAAAACTCACGGGACACACCCGAATAACATTCTTGACTCCAAGATATGCTCCCAACTCATTTATGTCCCATTGGATTGACTAAGTCACGCGACCAAAGTCAAAGAACGATATGATACACATTATATGATATAAGAAACTATAAATAAGAATAGGTCATAAAATGGTTAAAATACTGAGATATATAAAACCAATTTGGAAAGCAACACCACAGTGCAATGAACTTGGCCACTTTAAACGGAGAGATTTTGCCTGACATAATGGTATTACCATCTCTATCCTTCTTATCCCTTTCTAATAATAGCCTAAACAATGTCACCAATTCAATGCGCATGCTAACAGGGTTCAAGAATCTCAGCATTTTAGTGTTAAAAAACATTTACAATGAACCACTGCCTGGAGATGAAAACTTGATAAGAGCTGGCCAGTTCCAAGATCTTCAAAACTTAATCCTATTAGTTGCCCATTTAGTCAAACATTATCTCCAATAAACCCAGAACCTCGAAATATTTGTTTGAAATTCAGTATTTGAGTATATATTTATCCTTCAATTTCCAAACAAAAATACAAATCTAGGTAATAAAATGCTCAATATTGCTAAAATTGCACAAATATAAAAAAAAATAAAAAAAATCTATGCATCCCAATTTCAATGAATTTGGGTTCTCAAAATTAGATGACCTTCAACATGACTGCAAAAATAAAATTCGAAACATCACAACGAAGAGGAAATCCAAAAACAAAGGAGGTGAAAAAGCTTAGGATTTGCTTCGCATCGCTCGAGAATAAGGAAAAACAAAGCACAGGCAGGTATTGATAGCTTGCCTTCGATAGAGAAAAATTGACATTGATTCGTCAGATGCCAAATTCACGAGAGAGAAGCGAAAACTACAGCTTTAATTAGAGAGAGATGAGATTTCAACAGATAGGGTTTTGGTGGGAGACTACTTCTATTGAAACTGGGATTTTAAAATGGGAAATGAGTTCAAATGGCCGCTCTTCACAAACATTTTGTCCAATTGGCCTTTGACTCAAATTAATAAAATAAAAGTAATTTTAATTATTTAAAACTGTCAAAAGACCCATATACCCTTATCTTGTAAAATAAAACTTATCATTCAAATTCAAATGAACCGGCCCAAGAGTTGTACAGGGTCGGACCTGGCCCAAGGCCAATGCCTTGGGCCTCAAATTTGAAAGGCCCAAAAAAGCCCAATCCCCTAAATAGAAAAAAGGCCCAAACACCCAATCTATTTCCCTCACGTTCTTCTCATCCTCTCTAGGCTTCCGGCTTCTTCTCTTCCTCTCTCGGTCTTCCATCTCCTTCTCTGGGCGTCGCCTCTCGGCTTCTTCAACAGTGAACAACCTCTCACCAACTTCGAATACATAGCGTTGCTTGGACGTGGAATGGTGGACGGTGGACTACAAGATTTAGGGTAAAATCTTGCTTCAACACTCTTCCTCTCGGTCTTTCGTCTACAAGTATGCCATATATATTTTCTACTTATAATTTGTTATCTCTAAGTACACATGATCTGGGAAATCAATCATAAGGTGTAATACAGATTTCTAACTGCAAGAACATTTATAGCGTTCTGGAGCCCTAATTTCCCATAAATGTTTAATTCGATTAGGGGAACGTCAATTGAGGTTAGTAACACGATGGGTAGGCATCCAATTGTTCCAATTAACACCCATAAGTCCAAATTGAGTCTTCGAAATTAGTCTATGCGTGATGTAGGTTTTGATGCTACAATTGATGATGTTGTTGAGGTTATTGTTGCTAATTGATTAGGTTGTTGAGGTTATGCGTGATGCAGGTTTTGATACTGCAATTGATGATATTGTTGAGGTTATTGTTGCTAATTCACCCATATTCATTATGTATCTCTGTTCATGATGCTTCTTGTCAAATTTGCTTTACGTGATCCTTTGTTTATATTTGTATTTTGTATTAACTAAATTTCATACAATAAGGTTCAAAATTCGTTTATAATTTGTATATGTTTTATAATTTGTATTGCAATGGAAAAGATTCAAGTTGACGCTCCAATTACAACAAGATGTAGACTGCAGGTTGTACAAGATGTGTATGAGAAACTAGATACAAATTACCAAAAAAAGCTCCACAAGTGCTGCTTCGGATGTCTTCTTAAATTGAGGGATGTAAGGCTAGCTTCACAGGTTATACATCAACTATTATTGCGAAAAATGAAGATCGGCAAAAAAGAAGAAATATGGTTTAAGATTGGAGACAAACGAGCAAGATTTGGATTGGAAGAATTTGTTCTGGTGACGAGCTTAAATGCTGGTAATGATGACAATGTAGATAAGACTTTGGGGGCTGAATGTCAGATAGTGAAAGAATATTTTAAGAAAAGTATGGGGAAGATTACGAAGAGAGATGCTTACAATTCATTTTTATGTTGCAAGAAAAGAAAGAGCGATAAGTATAAGTTGGGATTGATTGTAATCTTGGCGTACGTCTTGTGGGCCACGGAGGAAAACACCTTCATCGATTTATGGTGGTTGGATTTGGTAGATGATCTGGACAGGTTCGAGAAGTATCCATGGGGAATTTTTCATTTGAATACACGATGAATGTATTCAAACATGAGATTGGAGGTAAATTGAAAATTTTGGATGTCGAAGGAGAGTCACGTTGTCGGTATTCGTTGTACGGTTTTCCACTCGCTATAATGGTGTGAACAAACAATATACTTGACTTATATTATTTCTTATATATAAATTTGTGTGGTGAGATAATAATATTTGTTTCACAATAGATTTGGGCATTTGAGGCGATTCCAACATTGGGAAAGAAGTTTGCTACGAAATATCCAGATGCAATTCCAAGAATGGCCGCTTGGGAAATGCCGAAGAGGTTAGCGTCAGCAGCCATTGATAATGTGTTGAAATTGAAAGAGGTAAATTGCCATTTTTTAAAAGTTTAATAGAACAAATTATGGAAGTAGCTTAGCGAATGACTAGTGATTTATATGATTTAATATTTGCAGTTGGAGGTTCATTCTAAATTGATCCCCACTGAACTCGAACTCAAGGCGGTCTATTGGAAAGAGTTGACACCGATCGTGGGAGAAGATGAGAGTGTTTTACACCATTCTGAGGAAGATGAGGCTAAGCAATATGCCGAGCCACATCATGCATTCCACCAACACGCTTCCAGAGCATCTCAACCACCACCGGTATCTCATGACATCAATATAGCAGATTTATTGAGAATGGAATTGGAAAAACTTGAGGGAAGGCTACAAGAAGTCATATCAACTCGACTTGATCGGGCGAAGAGAAAGGTTGACAGGTTGCTTGAATTAACTGTGGCGGGTCGCTTCCATTCTGCGACAAGTGGATTTGATGGTGCCACGACTGGCATAGCTTATGTACCAGAATATGAACTAAAAGGTGGGTTGGAAAAGGAGGCTGGATTTGATGATGTGACGGATGTGCCTGTAGGTGAAAGAATGTGGAAGAGTTCGAGAATGACCCAAAGTTAGAAGATGAGGTCAGAAGAAAGAATGTCGAAGGGAAGGGAGCTAAGGTTGGATCTAGGGATGATATGAAAGAGCAAGAAAAGGAAAAAATGGTAAACGAAGGTGTTCAAAAAGAAACAATAGTAGATGATAAGCATCCCGACATAGAGAAAGGCATCGATGATTTTGGGACGCCTAAAAAACATGAGGTAGATGAATCCACTCAAGGTATGTAAAAAACAAATTGATGTTCAGCTTCATATTATTACCTCCAAATGAATCAAGTTCTAGATTTCTAATTGTTGGTACTTGCAACATATAGGTGATAGTATACAAATCGAGAAGGTAGAATGTAAATCTCCAAAAGGACGAGGGTATCGTCCAAAGAGAAAAGCACGTTTCTTGTGTTCTCCCTTCATGGACCTGACAAAGAGGAGAAAGTTGTCGAAAGTCGATGTTTATGATCCTTATCGAGAATTGGATCCTGTGAAGGTTGAGGCTCTTCACAAATGGTTGGAAACTGCACCTTCCAGGTAAATTATTACACATAGTTGGAATGACATGTGGAAGCAATGATATCATTACATAAATATAACTTTGTGTGCATGTTATTGTATGTACAGTCAAATGATACCTTTGCGCTTTTACGATGTTCAAGCAAAAAATTTGATCGACCTTTTGAATGAGGATGGTTGGATTACTGGCAATGTAAGTAATACGATTTTAATGATTTTACGATAATGTTATACAAGATTTCAGTTTGTATTAACTAGTTCCTTTGTGCAGATTATGAATGAGGCCCTATACCAGATACGAGAAAGGGCTTTCAAATTTCCTAACTTATTCCGACAAGATTGCTGCCTATTGGATACTTTCTTCTACCAATTTGTTCATAACGCACATGGCCAGTTGCAACCGAGTAAAGAACTCAATTTTAGTAAGAGTCTGATCAATTATGTGAGAGGGACTACTCCAGAGCTCGGTAAACCTTGGAAGGACTGCAGATATTTGTATATTCCTTGCTTTACCGTCAACCATTGGTTCACAGTTCAAATAGACTTGGAGGAACGAACAATTTTTGTCTTCGATAGTCTGAAGAGTCACGTTCGTAGGGCAGCGTTCGAATCTTACATTTTGCCTCTACAGGAGGTTATTCCATTACTGATCAAACTTCATGTCAAAATTGATGACAACTATAGCACGGAAAAGTTTGAAGTTGTGAGAGTGGGAGATGTTCCCCAACAATTGAATGGGTAAGAATGACTAATTTCAGAATTGATAGTACTATATTATTTTAACTGTTTCAAATGGATACGATAACTGCACAACTATTTTGTAGATCTGACTGCGGGATATCCACACTTAAATACATAGAATTTCTGCAAGCGAATATGGACGTAAATGCAATTCAAGTGGATTATGTACCAATATGGCAGAAGAAATTGGCTGCAGAGTTATTGGCTTGGAATTTTGAGCCTTAGATTGTGTTTTGATGTATGTATTGATATTTTGAAAACTTTTTGTGGCTGGACCTTGTTCATTTTGCTAGAGTAGTTGCTATTCCTATAACTGTCGATATTTCTAGGATGTTGCCTAACCATTAGTTAGTGCATTTTGATAATTGTAATGATTACGGATATTGAATATAATTGAAATTTACATATCGTTCAAGTTTACATATTGTACACGTCCAGGGTGTTCATATAATGCATATTCACGTAACGACATTTCTAACTAGTTCAGTGACAGAGAGTATTTCATGTCGTTCAAGTACAAAAATGTATTAATTCGGAAAACGATATCGAAAGCGTTCCTGACACACAAAACGATTTCGATATCGTTTCAGCACGCAGTGCTTCCCAGGAAAACTACAACGACATTTATATCGTTCCTATGTTGCACAACGATATCGATGTCGTTTCGATACAAAATTGCACTCAGTAGCATAATGACATTGAACTCGTTCCTGGAATAAAAGCGACATGGATATCATTTCGGCGTAAAATAAACACTGCTTCCCAGAACAAACTATAACGACATTGACCTCATTCCTGGAATAAAAATGACATGGATATCGTTTCGGCGTAAAATAAACACTATTTCCCAGAACAAACTATAATGACATTGACCTCGTTCTTGGAATAAAAACGACATGGACATTGACCTCGTTCTTGGAATAAAAACGACATGGATATCGGCGTAAAATAAACACTGCTTCCTAGAACAAACTATAACGACATTGATATCGTTCCTATTTGACAAAATGATATAGATGTCGTTTCCATTCAAAAATTGAACTGCGTAGCATAACGATATTGAAATCGTTCTTGAAATACAAAACGATATGATAACATTCATCATGAAATGCACACTACTTCCTTGATATGAATGTAACGACACTGATATCGTTCCTATGTCTCAAAACGATATTAAAATCGTTTTGATACCAAAATTTCACTGGCTAACGTAATCATACTAAAATCGTTCCTGAAACAATAAAACGATTTCCATATCGTTTCAGTGAAAAATAGGTCACTGCTTCAACAAATTTTCTTTGTAATGTCAAAGTCACGAAATAGCGTAACGACATACATACCGTTTTAGTGCAAACGTAACGATTTATATGTCGTTACAATTCAAATAAAAACTAAAATGAAGTTGATTTCGTTTCACTGAAACGATATCACACGAAATAACATAACGATATCAATATCGTTTCAGTGAAAATTTGACGAGTTAGAAAACGATAATTATATCGTACAGGCTAAAACAACGATTCGACCATCAATTTGATGCATACTGACATCCATGTCGTTTTATGTGAACTAAAACGACATAGATGTTGTTTTAGCGCAGATTTCGACCGAAACAAGTTCGGCCTCGTTATATTTGTACTGAAACGACATGTATGTTGTTATGTTATGTAGTGGGTTTGGTACATAACAATATGGTCAAATCAACATTTTGAATAGAAACGATATAATTATCGTCCTATATAAACTAAAATGATATATATGTCGTTTTAGTTACGA